GATTGAAGAATATCATTGTACCTTTCACCTGGGATATACTCTGGAGGGGTAGCAGTTGAGATTTGATCAGTCATAGTTAGTAGTATACTTGGAATGAATAAGATTGATCACGAGCAGTATTGCTACAATGATTTTCTAATTGAAAGTTCAATTGTAAAAAAATACCCAATATTGATGCGACATTCACACCTTGAATTTGTTAGGAAAAAAGATCTCACCTTGAGTTTGTATTTTGTTAGGGATTCGCACTGTTTTGAAAAAAATTAAAACGAAATATTGATGCGACATTCACAACTTGAATTTCTTAAGGAAAAAAAATCTCACCTCGAGTTTGTATTTTGTTAGGGATTCGCACTGTTTTGAAAAAAAATAAAATTCACCTTGAGTTTTGTCCGTTTCTCACCTAGAAGTTAGGTTTGACAGACTGTAGATTGGACTGTTAGGTTGGTAGTAACAGCCTTGAGATAAGTAGGGCAAGGAAGGTTTTTTTTTTTTTTTTTTTAAATAAGAATTATTTTTTTGATAAGAAGAAAAATAGTACGCGTTTTATTTTTAGTTGATATAGTTCCAAATAATATTATATTTATTAATTTTTATTATATTTATTAATTTTCGTCTTATTCTATTTCTCTCAATTTCTAAGTTTAATTCACTACTACTTTACCTATAACTAGTAAAATACGAAATGGGAAATAAACATAATCATATCGGCGAAACTTATTTTTTGGATTCCCTGGAATCTGAACAGTCTAGTTATGAAGAGTCTACTGATGACGAGATTAGTGACGATGAAGATTTAGAGAATCTTGATGATGAAAATTTGTATCCAAATGGTCGATTTGAAACTGAACAAGTTCGGGCAGTTGCGTTAAATAGGAAGTTGAATGCACCTCCATTGCCAACACCCGACAATTCCAGAATTGAAGAAGATGTGGATTATCCTGATGATGGTGACGACGATTTACATGATCAAGATATGCCTGTTGCTAGTTCAACCCAGTTAGACAATATTGATCCTTTGCTTTTCACTAACCGTGCTTCTTCTTCTTCAGTTCCCAAACTTACTTTTAATCAGTTGTTAGAAAAACGTCGTGAACAGAAAAAAGGATTGTCTTCTAAAGTAGTTGGATCTGAAATTTTATCGAATGGCTCTGTATCTTTAGCAGATGATTTGAATCAAGCTCCAATGACTCCTGATTATACTTATGATTATGAACCTGGTGGTGATGAATATGAAGCTGGTTGTGATGGTTCTGAAGAAGGTGGTGAAGATGATGAAGGTGGTGGTGCTGATATAATGAGTC